CCAACCGGGACTAAAGGGGGGGCATTGGTACCGGTTGGTGCCACGAACCGGTACCAATGTAACCCTTTAGTTCCGGTTGGTGCCACGAACCGGTACCAATGCAACCCTTTAGTTCCGGTTGGTGCCACCAACCGGGACTAAAGGCCATGTGCTGCCCGCGTCGCGGCACGAAAGTTTAGTCCCACCTCACTAGCCGAGGGAGCTCGAGAGTGGTATATAAGCACCAGTCCCGCTGCCCTCTCGAGCTCCTCTCAAATGTAGGCTTACGGGCCTAAACGCACTATATGTGCCTGTGGGCCTATTGGGCCTATTGCGGGCCTGAATCCTGGCCCATTGTTGGGTTTCTAGTCATATTAAGGCCGTGGTAGCCCTTTAGGTGGCACTTTTTTTATTTTATTTATTTTATTTTGATTCTTCCTGCAGCTATTTTTTAGTCCCATCTCGCCAAGCGGGAGGCACTCGCAGCTGTTTATAAGTCCTGAGTGCAGAGACGATGACGAAGAGGCTCAATGCTCCTGCACGTTGGTTAGCTTCAAGCCTTAAGGAATACGGTAGACTGCACAGAGCTATGTGCAGTGCAGTTGACACTATTCCGGAAGGCTTGAAGCAAATTAACAAGCATTGCGCCTCTTTTTTATTTTTAATGACTTATTACAACTGAGAAATAAAAAGAAAAAAATAACTGAAAAGAAAAAAACTATATAAAAACTACTCATAAATGAATTGAACCAAAAAATAGTTGTGATTAACTGTACTAAAAAAGGAGCATAGATGCTTATTTTTAATGACTTATTACAACTCAGAAATAAAAAGAAAAAAAAATAAATATAGCAGAAAAAAAACTATATAAAAAGATACTCAGAAATGAATTGAAGCAAAAAATAGTTGTGATTAACTGTACTAAAAAAGGAGCATAGATGCTTATTTGTAATGACTTATTACAACTCAGAAATAAAAAGAAAAGAAAGTAGTTGTGGTTAACTTTACTAAAATATGAGCGTAGATGCTTATTTTTAATGACTTATTACAATTCAAAAATAAATAGAAGAAAAAATAGTTATGATTAACTTTACTAAGAAAATGAGCATAGATGCTTATTTTTAATGACTTATTACAACTCAGAAATAAAAAGAAAAACATAAATATAGCAGAAAAGAAAAAATCCTATATAAAAAAGCTACTCAGAAATGAGCATAGATGCGCTTATAGAGGAAATTCAAATTAAATTCATAGCAAATCTCAAGAGAAATTCATATGAATTTAGCCTAAATTCCCTATATAAGGGCATCCATTTTCATTTTCAGAGGAGCTCAATAAGGCAGAGAGGGAGGGGCTTATAAACCGGTCTGATTCCCCTCCGGTTGGCGAGGTGGGACTAAACTTTGGCCGCAACGAGGACCAACCCTTTAGTCCCGGTTGGCGGAATGGACCGGGACGAATGGTCGTCCTTTGGTCCTGGTTCGGGCCACCAACCGGGACCAATGGTGGTGGGCCAGGAGCGTGGGCCATTGGTCCCGGTTCGTGCCACCAACCGGGACCAATAGGTCCAGCCGAACCGGGACCAATGGCCCACGTGGCCCGGCCGGCCCCTGGGGCTCACGAACCGGGTCCAATGCCCCCATTGGTCCCGGTTCTGGATTGAACCGGGACTAGTGGGCTGGACCGGCCTGGACCATTGGCCTCTTTTCTACTAGTGAACTAAAGCGATCAAGTGGTCAATGGAGTTGGAGAAGGAAAGTGTGTTCCAAAAATAAAGCAAATTAAATAAATAAAGAGTATTCTGGAAATAAGTAGGAACGAGAACTGAACCTGGCGAGGAAGGAGGAGGAAGAAGATGAGGCGTCACTGACAAACACACTGATGTTGTCGTGGTACTGGTTGGCGCCAATGAAATGGGTTGGCGAAGAGACTAGAAGTAGAAGATGTATGGAAGGATGAGGAAGAGAAGGACGATAGTTATCCCTTCTAGCAATAAATGATACGAGGGCTGGAGGTGGAGCTTATTGGTAAATGGGAATATGTTCAGGTTGCCACTCCCCTCCCATGTCAATGTGCATTTGCAAAGTTGAATGGACCTCTGAGAATGGTCTCTCTAGTTATTTGTTGTTTTGTGTTCATAGTATGTGTTAGTTTAACCCACTCTATTATATTGTGAATATGAAAATTTTCATCCCTGTTGCAACGCACGCCGGGGGTGAGGTGGACGTCATCTGGTTTTAAAGGAGGAGACTCCAGGGAGAAATGTCCCGCTACAACTGGAAACCGAGCGGAAAGGGGAAAGGGGAGGGCCGGACATGAAAAAGGAAGGGTGTGCCGTGGGGTGTTTTTTGTGTGTTGGGCCCGCATATTGGAGACAACATGGCAGATAGTCGTTCTAAAAAACCCACGATGGATAGTCCGGACAACCACATTTCTTCCGCACATATGGTCTAGATATGGGGGAGCCCGGACTGTCCAGACAATTAGATTTTGGGGAGCCTACTAAGCGCTCGTTTGACGTCTGAACGCGTCCAAATGTATGAGGGAGAAATAAGCTTTAAGCTTAGAGACGACCTTAACCATTTATTTGATTAATTTGTATATGCGTTATAACCCGGAGCACTTTCATGTGTACGTATATGAAAATTTCATTTTCTCATCTTTCTTTCTATTTTCACAAGAAACTTTTTATTCTCTAATCTGTTTTATAAGTTTACAAGTTTACGTTCACATTTTCATTTTCCCCCTCAACATAATGGGAGATTTCCACCCCGTTTTGATCCCTAGAAGCATGCGGCGGTAAAGAAACCTCTTGGAGCATAAATAAAATCACAACTAAATCAAAAGATTAATTGCTAGTATGACTATTATTGTGCATAGGCTTCCAATTTTTGCAACACAATAAGGTATGCTGTTTGGGAAGAATTGTATGACAAGGAACACAGATGATGGAAGGATTAAGGTTTTTTTAGTGGTACAATTGAGTTGAGCCAAAAGTGTATCTGGATTGAACTTCTGGTGTAGCGCTTGGGTGAATGACGACACTTCTTCTTCGAGTTTGTCTTCTTGACTCCGATCCTCCTTGCGTTCGTCCATCTAGATTTAGTCGACAAATTTCCGACATAGATTCCTGCTGTCTTCGACGAGGTTAGTGCCTCTCGTCATGCGTGCGTAACAGCGAGATTTGGTGTCAATTGCTTTAGATTTATTCAACGGTTCAACAACGATGACCGTAGCTCCAAGGCGCTGGTCCTTAGGGACATGCGCACAAAGACTTTTCGGTTGCCATCGACAAGTTCAAACCGGTTTCAGTAGGGCAGGGGGACAACATTGCATCGACGGCTCGTTTGGCGGTGATAGTGGTCGTTTGGTTTAGAGACTATGATGTAATTTTTATTATGTTTAATATGCTTTGTACTTCTAATGAACTTTTGTACGTAATATATCTAGATATTAAAAAAAATTTAGATTGCCCTATGAAGACAAAAAGAAAAGAGAGAGTGGAAACTCCCACATGTATGGATGCGGAATTTCATTTTGTCTACCTGAGAACACGTTCCGTTTTCATTTCTTCCATTCCCATTAGGAACTTTCCATTTCCTCCTTTTCGTAAGTTTCTATTTCAGATTCCGTATTTGCACTTTGTTTCCACATTATTCGTCAACACAATAGGAAGATTCCGCTCCATTTTGATCATTGTAGGCATGGTGGCGCGCGCGTGGGATAGACACCTTGTCAACCCCTAACCTAGCAACGCGTCCTGTGCCTGCACCTGCACCTGCAGCCCGGTGAGCGCACGCAACGCAACCCCGACTTGCAGGATCAGACCAGATAACCGCCCTCCTTTGTACACGTACATGCTTCCCCTGTGGCCAGCGATCGCGCATGGGACAACGGAGGTATGGAACGTACGTTCGTACTTCTCGTCTGACCTCCAGCGTACGTAACGGCCTCTTCAACATCTACGTAACGCCCACAATCTTGGTCGTTTCTCGTACACATCCTGATCTGCACAGTTATCTCATGCCATGCATGGCATATGCCAAAGTTAAGCTTACCATTATCTCATGCCATATGCCAAAGCCAAAGTAATGGCAATTATTTCATGCCATATATGCTAATAAGGAAAGCCTGCAATCATTTCATGCCACGCATGCCACATGCCAAAGTAAGCTTGTTCATCTAGACGATCGTATCCGAGGATCACCATGCCCCGGTCGGCCTAGAGCGCGTACGCAACGCAACGCAACGCAAGCGTCGGCACGTCACACCATGCCGGTCGATCGCCCGGCCTGCACCCTGCCCGTTTCGTGTCGCCGCGGGAGCCCTGGCCTATATAACGCGAGCTAGCACTCGTCTCCATGCACAACAAACCATCCGCAACAAAAGATATATTGCACCCTGCAGCTGATCACCTGCGCGACGTAGCCACAGCAGCTCTAGTTTCGCATATATACACACATACATACATACATACATACGTAGGCATGGGCACCAGCAACGCCCGGCGGCTGATGGTCCTGTCGTGCCTGGCCGTCCTGGCCCTCGCGGCCGGGGCGCGCCGGCCGAGCGTCCACCACGCCGCCGCACCAAGCGCTGCGGCGCCGGCTCCCAGCAATGGGGGAGTAGCAGAGGGGAAGGTCCGCGGGTTCGCGAGGGCGGACGGGGCGCGGTTCACGGTGGGCGACCGGCCGTTCTACCCGAACGGCTTCAACGCGTACTGGCTCATGTACATGGCGTCCAACCCCGGCGACCGGAGCAAGGTGCTCGCCACGCTGGACCAGGCGTCCCGCATCGGCGCGACGGTCATCAGGACCTGGGCCTTCAACGACGGCGGCAGCAACCGGCCGCTGCAGATTACCCCCGGCGTCTACAGCGAGGACGTGTTCCTGGTACGTTGAACGGAGAAGCTAGGCGCTAGAGTAAATCTTTCGAACATCTTTTTTTTTGTACGGGTACTCTTTATTAGAGCATAGTAATTACACGCCAAAGATAGCTATACGTTACTTGAATTTTATGGGTTTGTCGTGCTGATGCGAGAGCGTTTCCGTCGCAGTAAAGTTATAGTACTACACGGTAGGTTAAAAAAAAAAGTTATAGTTCAACGGTTGGATAGATGGACACGCTAATATATCTTCTTAACTAATAACTGCATGTCCCCTAAAAAAAAACTAATAACTGCATGTTGTCAAAAAGATAACCACATCATTTCCTTTTTTTGTGTGAAATAACCACATCATTTCCCTTTTTTTTGGAGGGAAATAACCACATCATTTCCTTTTTTTGTGTGAAATAACCACATCATTTCCCTTTTTTTTGGAGGGAAATAACCACATCATTTCCTTTTTTTTGAGGGAAATAACCACATCATTTCAAAATACAAAAATAAGCACATGTTTTTTTTGGAAAGGAATAATCACATGCAATTAACGGGTACTGCTAATTAATCTTTTCTCTCACGATTAATTTCCATTAAAAAGTTGCGATTGTGTACCACCCCTGGGGTAAAAGTTTCCTCTTTTTTGTGCGGGGTGGGGTAAAAAGTTTCCAAACATATATGATGGATCAATTTAATTACACTAGCACTAAAAGTGGGCTGTAAAAGTTTCCTAAAACTGCACCAATTCATGATGAACTTTTTTTTTTTGCGGGGGAATTCATGATGAACATTAGTAACGTACACATATATAGAAGGAAAAAAAGAGCATATCTATTTTGATTAACCATTTATATATTTTTGTCTTGATATATTAATTCAGGGACTAGACTTCGTGATCGCCGAAGCGAAGAAGCGAGGTCTCTACTTGATCCTGAGCCTGGCGAACAACTGGGGTGACTTTGGCGGGAGGAGACAGTACGTGCAGTGGGCTAAGGACCAGGGCCACAACTTGGGCTCCGACGACGACTTCTTCACGGACCGCCACACCCAGCGCTTCTACATGAACCACATCAAGGTCCGTCCCGTCCTCCCACGGACACGTCACACGTGTATGACTAATCGCGTGCACTCACCTAGAATAAACTAATCGCGTGCACTGCATGTTCCACTGCCGTCACGTTAAGCTCGATCATCGTTGGCATCTTGTGTACGTGCAGATGCACCGTATACTCTTCCGTACACGTTTTTTCTTGGATATGCACCGTATATACTTTGTGTCGTTAACTCGCGCGTACCTATGTGGAGAGCAGAGGGTCCTCACGAGAGTCAACAACTTCACGGGTGTGGCGTACAAGGACGAGCCCAGCATCTTTGCATGGGAGCTGATGAACGAGCCCCGCGTCCCCAGCGACCTCTCCGGGAAGACCATGCAGGCCTGGGTGGCGCTCATGTCCTCCTACGTCAAGTCCGTCGACGGTAAGCACATGGTGGAGATCGGCCTCGAGGGCTTCTACGGGGACTCCGCGCCGCAGCGCAAGCGGTTCAACCCCGGTGGGAATTACAGCGCGGGCACCGACTTCATCGGAAACAACCGCATCTCCACCGTCGACTTCGCCACCATCCACTCCTACCCCGACCAATGGTAACCACAGAGAAACGACGCACGAGGTTTTCCCATTAATTTCTCCCGATCGATGGATTTGTGCTGACCGTGTGCGTGTGGCTTGTGTGTGTCAGGGTGCCGGGGTCGACAAGCGAGCAGCAGGTGGAGTTCATGAAGAAATGGATGGCGTCGCACACCGAGGACGCGGCGGCGGCGCTGCGGAAGCCGCTGCTGGTGGCGGAGTTCGGATGGAAGTCCAGCGGCAACGCGGTGGCGGCGCGCGACGACTACTTCCGCATGGTGTACGACGCCATCTACGCGTCGGTGAAGGGGGGCGGGCCGTGCGCCGGGGGCCTCTTCTGGCAGGTCATGGCGCCCGGGATGGAGAGCTGGACCGACGGCTACGAGGTCGTGCTTGAGCGTAGCCCCTCCACCACCGCCGTGGTCTCCCAGGAGTGCACTAGGATCGGCGGAATCACGCCGTGAGTCTAGCTTGCGTGTATGCAGCCATGGGTGTGCATTCCGCCGCGCGCGCGCGCGCGTGCGTTGGGGAAGCAGCCCTGCAGGGAAGCACGGACTCACGAGCCGTGTTAGGATAGTTGCAATCGGCTAATTATTACGTCAAGATTGCTCACAAATAAGGCTCACACATGTAGTACGTGGCATACCAGGAAATGGAGGCCCCCATTGTAACATACTAATAAAGATTTACCCGCAAAAAAATACTAATAAATATTTTTTAAAGGACCCATAGGTTTCATCTTTAACTTTCTCCCCATCACCCCTTCGTCCAACTTCCCTCGATTTCCCATCCCGTTCTAGCTAAATCAATCTTTGTTAACTCAATAGATATGAATAAACTTCTGATACGTAGACAAATAAATATCCATCAATATCTGATCTTTGGTAACCCCATAAAACAGATCAATCACGGGCACATAACAATTTTGCCTGTTTAGGGAATGATAGAAACACTATTTTGTTTTGTCTATTTGTTTTGCATCAAGATTTGCTTCGTATGGTCGTCTTATTGTGCTAAAAAAATGTTTGATCCACATAGCAATGCATGGACACATACCTAGTGTATTAAAAAGGTTCGACGGTGGTAGAAACACACTCCAAACATAATAAAAATTGAGGACAAGTTTGTTTTTCATCCTTGAACTCGCTTCAAAGTTTAAAAATCATCCCTCAACTTCAAAACCAGCAAAACTCAGTCCCTCGACTAATGAAACCAGATAATCTTCGTCCTATATAACGGTTTAGGCGGTCTGAGTAAGACGTGGACCCGGTTATTGACTAAATACGAGACACATGGCCTGGTTCTGACCACCACGTCAGTTAATTGACCGAAGGACCCTCACGCCTCTATATGTCCCGCACACTCCCTTGCCCTTTCCGACGAACCCTAAACCTAGAGCTAGCAGCGGTGACGGTGATTCACTCATGGGTTGTAGCGGCGGCCACTGAGGCGTGGCTAGGACAAAGGTGGCGACGTATCCTAGTGGCGATTTAGGCGCGGTGGTGGATGGTTGTTGCATAGCCGGCCAGGGCAACTACGCCCTTCCCACGAGTGAGCAACAACGACCTTGATTCCAGAGATATTTTAGCCTATAGTCATTGCAATCTTCCATTAAGGAGTAAGGAAAGTCCACACATTCAGTGTTTGTCTCTCTTGTATGAATATAGGGTAGTCACATGGATCGTGGAGAGGTGTTGTTCATTACATTTCATTTTGATGGCCATATGATGGTTTGAATTCAAATTTCTCAAATTTGGAAAGTTTGAATAGTTGAGATAATGGCTCTACAGGATTATATAGGTCAATACGAGCATGTAGGAAAAAGAATCACTCGATTTGGATTTATGGATCGCAAGATATCAACAAAACAAAATTGATATGAAGTGACGAAAATCCTACCATAGTAGCGATTTGGGCAACGCTATGGCAGCGGCAGTGAGGATAACATGTGTCAGCACATGAATCGATGATACTTGTTCTTGATAAGTGAATCTACTGGGATCGCTAGATCTACGATGAACGTATGACAAAGCGTACCCCTTCGTGTTTTAATCTGAATAGCAAGAAATAGATCAGGCGGCCAGGATTTGCTCACCGGAGAACAGGGGCTGGTGGTTGCCGGACTTGGAGGAGGAGACCTTGGGGCGGCTCGAACTTTGAAGCTGGCGATGTCTACGGCGGTTGGAGGGACTCATAGAAGATGGGAGAAGGTGTGGCGGTCTATGGTGAATTCAAACGCGTCTGTGGGGACCAGGGCTTGCTCCAACGACAGTACCGTGCGGCCGGAGCGGCAATGGCGTCGTCAAACTTCTACTGATGTTGCTATACTTGATACCGGTGGGTCCTGCGTCGAAAAAATATACTCAGGCAATGCATCTTGTCAAGGAAAGAAGGAAAGTACAGGATAGGAGGTTCGGGGACTCCTATTAGAGGACGTTTCGGGATGGAAAACTTTGGGAAGATGGCGATTTTGCAAAATAAATAAATCAGCAGAGCTAGATGAGGAGATTATTTATATGGAATACGTCGTTCTCGAGGAGCCAAGTTCGATCGATCGATCCGATTGAAGTTGTTCGGTAGCTACCATGTTTGGGAAGAACATGGCGCTGCGGGAAAGATGACGGGTGGCCCAGTCTCGCGAGGCGCCTCCTATTTGGCTTGCAGGTCGCCCACGAGCGACCTGGCGTGCACCCCTCGAGTGCACTCGATCAGCGTATGGGCCGACCCATTTTTAGGTATATTTCCTCGCGCGGTTGATCAGCATATGCGGGAAAGATCACCGGGTTTTCTAGTTTTTTGTTCCGTTTTCCTTTCTATTTTCCCTTTTTTTCTTCTACGTTTCCTTTTTCTTTTTTTCTTTATTTTTTCTGTTTCTTTTTTTCTTTCTCCTTTTCGTGAACATTTTTCAAATATGTTAACATCTTTTCAAAATCGTGAACATTTTTTCAAATTTGTGAACATTTTTTGTTTTCCTTTTCCTTTTTTTCACCTTCCATTTTTCATTTATTTTCTGTTTTTTATTTTTATTTTTTAATTTGCAAACATCTTCTAAAAATCATGTACCTTTTCTTAATATTGTGAGCATGTTTCAAATTCAAGAATTATTTTTACAGAACTTATGCAACGACGATGCCCCCTGGGCGAAAGGAAAGGGGCCGCCATTCTTTTTCTTTCGTCAATCGTTTCGACCATTTCTCTCATTCCCTTTTGTTTCTATTTTCGGGTTGGTTCGTTTCCTCCTCCTATCTACGCAATTCTCTGTCTTCGTTCGGCTTGTACTCTCCGCAGTTGGCACACGCACGCGCACGCCATCATGCCTCCTTGGTACGGGACGAAGCCAAGCGAGACATACGATAGATGAAGGAAGCGCCCACCCAACAGGAGGGCTAAAACCTGTAGTTTTTAAGTTGCAAAGTCCATCTTCGAAGCTGGAGTGCTTTACCACTTTTTTAAGCAAGAATCACCATCTTGAGGGCCTTGCACGCTTAAGAACAAGCAATGGATGAGCGCTTTGTTGCTAAAGCTCTTGAACATTCTTCAAATTCACGACATTTTTTGAAATTGCATACATTCTTTGAACACGTGAACATTTTAAATTTTTTGGAACAGTTTTCAAAATTCAAGAAATTTTCTGTTTTTGATGAAATTTTATTGAGTTCATGAATACTTATTGAATCAGTGAACGTTAAGCGTGCGGACTCTACAGTCAATAACCAATAGCGGAACCTGGATGCCCATATTGGCTCCTACATATTCTACGAAGATCTTTATCGGTCGAACCTTTTGACAACATACGTAATTCTCTTTGTCCGTCGGTATGTTACTTGCCCAAGATTCGATTGTCGGTATCTTCATACCTAGTTCAATCTCGTTACCGGCAAGTCTCTTTACTCGTTCTGTAATACATCATCTTGCAACTAACTCCTTAGTCACTTTGCTTGCAAGGCTTCTTATGATGTGTATTACTGAGAGGTCCCGGAGATACTCTCTGATACTCGGAGTGACAAATCATAATCTCGATCTATGCCAACTCAACAAACACCTTTGGAGATACCTATAGAGCATCTTTATGATCACCTAATTATGTTGTGACGTTTGATAGCACATAAGGTATTCCTGTGGTATCCAGGAGTTGCATAATCTCATAGTCGAAGGAATATGTATTTGACATAAATAAAGCATAGCAATAAACTAAACGATCACACTACTAGGGAAAAGCCTAACAGTAACTGAATGATCAATATGCTAAGCTAACAGATGGGTCTTGTCCATCACATCATTCTCCTAACAATCTGACCTGCTTTTGAAATTTTTTTCACACTGTTGACCCTTTCGAGTGGCGCCGGGCAGCAAGGCGCCACACCCTACATTGCAGCGCCTGGCTCTTAGATGCCACACGCGAGGCCAGCGTGGCAGCCCAGGGCCAGGCGCGGCCCAACAGCCAGCCGTGCGGCGCCTAATGCATAGGCGCCACAATTGTAATGTGCAGTACCCGGCCCTTTGGCGTTGTACTGTCTATGTGTCACTTAGGCTGCCCCACCCCCCATACCCACCCCACACACCCCACCCCACCCACACCCTAAGCTAAGCGCCCCCTCTCTCCCCCTTTCCCCCCTCTCAAATCCTTCTTAAATCTTGCAAATCCAGAGTATTTGTCCATGGATTTCGAAGCCAACCCCTCCCTTAAGGTAATCTCCTCTGATCCCCTTCCATTTGCTCAAATCTTGGTAGTTTGGGAAAACCCTAGTTTTGGCATGGATTTGGAAATTTGTGTTGAAACATCCACCCATCTAGGTCAGAATCCACCAATTTAGGTAAGAATAAAGGCAACTTTCCAGGTTTTGGGCCAGTTTTTTTAGGCCAGACGCCTCGCTCTACCTAGTGTTGTTTAGGCCATTGGACTTGGGCTGCTGTTTTTCTCTCCCCCTTGCTTGGGCTGTGGGAGCAATGGTAAGGCAACTGTAGTCTATACTGGAATTTCCATACGATGTTATATCTACTCACGGGGTGGATGCACTTTATTCATAATCCGTACCGAAAGTTCTCATGATTGGTCCTTGTCTTTTTGGAACTTGAACTTGTGTGGCAGCATGGTCTATGGATGCAACAATGGTAGGTATATTTCGGAACCCTTCCGGAGACCAAGTACTATTAACCCATATATCAATCTTTACCTCCGGACCTTTCCGGAGCTCCTCGTCATGTTCGTGATCTCATTCGGGACTTCGAACAACATTCGGTCACCAACATACATAACTCACATAATACTATATCGTCAACAAACGTTAAGCGCGCGGACCCTACTGGTTCGAGAACTATGTAGACATGACCGAGACACCTCTCCGATTAATAACCAATAGCGGAATCTGGATGCCCATATTGCCTCCTACATATTCTACGAAGATCTTTATCGGTCGAACCTTATGACAACATACGTAATTCCCTTTGTCCGTTGGTATGTTAC